GGTCTTAAGGTCTTAGGATTTTCAAGTTTTAAGAGATATACAATGTATAAGTAATATAGATTAGATAAATTGAGTTTAAGAATAAGTTAGGTTTGGTGTTTTGGGTGTATGAAGCCATTGTATCATAAAGATGATTAAGTATTAATCTCATTCCAGGAGATAAGACGTGTCTCAAATTAACTGTATACAACCCCGGTTCGACCTCATGAAGGCTGAATCATAGGACGCCTTCACTCGGACCTTCCCAAGAGGGCCAAGTTGAAAGACGTCCTCAGTCAGGCCATGCTACTAAAACCAACTTAGCGCATTATCAATCAATTGACCAAGTCGAGAAGCACCTCATTCAGAACAATCGACTCAAAAGGTGTCTTTTTTTGGCCTCCTTAAAAAAGCCGAGACGAAAGGCAGTCTTTCTCAAACCCATTGATGATAGCCAGTAACCATTGTATTAAATGCCCTGCTGGATTCATCATCACACCACTGTCGAAAGTCTTAATGACTCATCGAACCACATTATCACCTTAATTCCCCTATCACCATCACATTAATCAAAAAGGTGACTCAGTCCACTCACTACTGATAGGTCCAACACTTATAAGGTATCAGCTGAATAAGCCAGTTGCTTGGATTTGGCTGAAATTACGCAACTACCTTTCTAGATCAACTATAAATAGACACATTGCCTACCGCATGAAGGTAAGAAACTTTCACCACTACAACATACGGTAATCGATATTTTCTTTCTTCCACCTGAGATCAATACTGACTTGTCCTTCGAAAGAGCCACTGGGGAACCCAACTCTGTTCCTCTTACATATTGCATGCAGGATCAAACCCTCTGCTCAATAATCAACTGTTAAAGAAAATTGAGGGACCCTAAACTCTCTATAAATCACACTAAACCCTAACGTTAAACATTTGACATCAACAGAAGTATTATAGAAGGTAGGCTTATAAACAAGTTGGGGTGAAACTTTGGGTGTAAGACTTTAGTCTAATTAAATCTTAATTTCGCTAATCTAGAAAAATCATACGCCCTTTAAAAGCACGAGTTCGAGTAAAGCTTTTCATGTTAAATATTGTCCTTCATTATTTTAAATTTTTTCATGTAAATCTGAATTTATCCTAATTCTAAATATATCTTATATTAATCACACGTGAAATACCTTTCACTCAACAATTTAGAAAAAATAAGAGTACTAATATATATGAAACACTATGTTGAATAATTCATTTAAATCTTGACTTATTCTAATACTAATTATATCCTATACTAATCCAACATGAACTACCTATAGCTCAATAATTTACAAAAATCAGATTAAGAAACCATACATAGCTAACATATTATAATACATGAAGTATTAAAAAAGCCCAAAAAGTTTCAAAATTGAACAAGACAATCTCAAAAGTTCAAAATTACACAAAACACCATGACTTTTCAAAGCTTAAAATAACAAACATGAAATCTTAAAATTAACATCAACCCTCAAAAAAATTTAAATTTCCAATTAACATTCTCAACATTTCAAAAGTTATTAAAACAGCCTCAAAAGTTTGAATTACAAAAAACATCTTGAAATCTTGAAAATTTAAAACTCGCAAACAACATTAATCAATTCCAAAGGATTACCATTAGGCACTTGAAATTTTAAAATTTGTAAAAAAAAACTTAAAGTTATAAAAATTGTAAAAACTCCCTCAAAAGTTAACAATCCCAAAAAAACCCTAAAATTTTAAAACTTATAATCAATACACATCAAATCTAAAAAATAATCAGCAGACCACTGAAATTTTTAATTTTGTAAAAAATAACCTAAAGTTTTAATAATTGCAAAAATCACCCTTAAAATTTTAGAGCTGCAAGAAAAATCCTAACATTTAAAAATTTACCACCAGCACACGAAACGTGAAATTTATATGCACCTAATTTAAAATTTAAATTTTTTAAAAAACACAACCAAAATTTTAAAAATTACAAAACACGCCCTTAAAAATTTAAAATCACAAAAAACACTAAAATTTCTAAACTTGGCAAAAAAAAGAGCAAATTTTTGATATTCTTTCAGATATATAAATTTAACTTTTAATTTAATTATTATCTCCTTTTTAGCATAAAAAATAATCTAAGTAATGATGGTAAAAAATAGAAATAACAATAGATTAGAAACTAGTTAATGAATAAAAATTTAAAAAATATATGATAGATTAAAAATTAATATTATTGTACAAAATAAATGAACTACATATAATTTAACTAATAATATTAATTGATAGAAGTCTAAAGTACATAAAACTGATAAGAGACCATAATTTAATGGCTTAGTGTTAATTGATTATAGTGTATAAACATTGATCTCTGATGTTAACAATATAGCATAAAAAATACAAGGAGTTATGTGGAAAAACTGCTAGAAAATTCAGAGATGTCCTTCAAAAGAATCAAGGTGTATCCATTTCAAATGGAGAGGTGAAGAAAATAAACCCAAAACTCAAAAACGTTCATTAATCACATGAACTGACGTTGATAAAAGGCATATCTATCAAAGAAGCACTAATTGAGTTTCTATTGAAGAACATATTAAATAACTTTATCCCGATAAAAGAAGCATTCTCCGTAGAAGATATAAGAAAAATTACTAAGGATTTTTATACTTTATTCTCCAAATATTAAAGGAATCATAAACTTAATATAAACTTACATATAAATAATGTTTCAATAAAAACTAAAGTGAAGTTATTGATCAACTATGTTGTAAGATATAACAAGCTAGATAAGTGGAGGCAAATCCCCATAATTGATAAAAGGTATACACATGATGCTTATTTATAATACACAATTAGAAAATTTAAAATCGACCTTTTTCTTTTTTCTATATATTAGCATGACTATGTGTGTAACTTTATTTGGAGACATGACTACTAATCAAGGATCAATTCTTAAAGACACAATCAAAGATAAGTATGTAATAGCACTATCAGATTTTAAAATCTTTAAATATGAATGTAGCATATTTCATTACTAAAATTTTTATTAAAAGCCATAAACATAAACTTCACCTTATATATGTCTCAAAATTATAGGAGAAATATGTATGTCATCGTAAATTACGTCAACAATATATCAACGCAAAGATATAGCTTACTGAAGAAATAAGAGAATGGTAAGTAAAACAAGCAAGCATTCATATAACACAAAAAAAAGAAAAAAAATGACATTTTAATGCTAATATGCAGTCAGAACAAGCTGCTAAGATAAAAGTACCTTCATCAAGTCTCTTTACAAATACAACACAAATATAAATTAATGATATATGCATTCATCACAATATTCGAAAGAGTTATGCTCTCACATGATCTACTCTAAAATTCACACAATTAAGCCTAAAAATAGTTGCCCAATGGACAGATACGCTATTGCACCTATAATGTAAGGATAACTACTATTTTTAATAGAATTGATCCGTGGTTCTATAATTGCAAGGCTGCAACAAGGTGAATAGAAATGTAAATAGAAGTATCCAAATGATAAATATCATAGAAACACTGATGACGTAGTACTAATGTTAAGTAACATCTCTTCTTCATAAAATAAACATACCAAAATCAAAATATTAACATTATAATCTAAGGAAAATTGATAGTAAAAATGCAGTTATTTAGTTTAGATTCTTGTGAAAAATGATACGGATAAAACAAATATAATACCATTTGACGTAACATAAACTCTTATTGGATGCATAACAGAAGAATTCATAGCAATGAAAAAAGAGATAACTCCTAACCTTATTTAAGTAATAAATTAGAAACATAAAAATTATATATCTATTTAACATTTATTCTCATTAAAATAGAAAAATAATCAAAGTAAGTATATTTCTAGAAGTTCGTGTTGAACATCGGAATTACATATAACTTCTTTGTGAAGTAAGATGAGAAGACAAAATATGAACGAGCACATGGAAAGATAACTACACAGGAAATATACCTCCAACCTAATGCCACAATCGATATAGATGATGAAGATACAAACCTAGATTTTTTAGGAAAAAGATAAAGATGGAGAAGAATTGATCTCTACTTACTATAGAAATAAAACAGAAGGAATAAAAAAATTTATTTTTAAATATTTTTATAGAATAGTTTAATTTTTTGAGGAAAGTTAGGAATCTTTAGAATAGATTTTCATAAACTTTTTTAGTACTTTATATGCTTATGTGGATGCCTTTATCACATAAAAGTGTACTAGAGTCAGCATTAATTTTTAATTTATAAATTTCTAATAACATCTATCAATGATTAGAACAACTTTATATTCTTTTTAGTTTTGTTCTAGTCCACTTTTCATTAATCATCTTAGTCATATTAGCTTTAATTATTCGTCTTACTTTTATAACACTATTTTTCAAGTGTTTTTTACTTTCGCAATACTTTACTTTCTCAAATCAAGCTTGGTTTTATGTTGATCCAAATAATATAAAATTTTAAATTGGCTTTGGATTACATTTGTTTCCTATCAACTCAATTATCAATATAAAAATTTAAATTCGGTATATAACACATTCAAACAAACAATAAAGAAAATAAATAATCACAATGCAAAAATTTTGAGATATAAGCGAGCAAAAACTAATAAAGTAATATCAAAAAATAAATTTTAATAAGAAAATAAATTAAAAATACTTTAATTATGGTATTCTATCCCGTGCTTGTAAGTGCATAAAAGCTAATGTCCATCAAAACAAGTACGTTCTTCTTGGTTCTTAGGTCCGCTCGGCCCTATAGCGTAAATCCAAAGACCGTGGGCTGTGAGAAAACTGATTTCTTGCGCCAATGAGCTGGTAACAAATAAAGGCTCTCCCGAAGTGTGGGCTGAATTTAAAACGGCGCAGATATAGCAGCGTAATGCTAGCCCAATTTAATATATTCGAATATTCGCATTTCATAACCGAACCCGTCTCCGATAACTATAAATATTCCTTAACACTACTGCTCCCTTCCTCTTAAACTTTATTTTGGCGGCTAGGGTTTTGGAGGCAGCCGACTAACCTAGGGTTAGGGTTTCGATTTCATCCAGATCCATCAACAACACCAAAACTCTACCCTAATGGCGGTCTTCTCCTTCTCGGATCTGCACACCGAATCCGGCGTCAAAACCCTAGAGGAGCACCTCTCTGGAAAATCTTTCATCTCAGGGTAACACTTGGAGTCCAAAAGCCTCTCTTTTATTTTAGGGTTTATGTTATTCTTAGAGAAATTGTTCGAATTGGAGTTTGCAGAGATCAGATCTCGAAAGATGATGTTAAGGTGTTTGGAGCTGTGACTCAAAAGCCCGGAGAGGGATTTCCCAACGCTGCCAAATGGTACGACAGCGTGTACTTGGTTCTCGCTGCAAGGTATTGACCCTTCTTCTTCTTTTTTCCTATTTTTTATAAATAATTTGAAGGGGATTTTTTGTTCTTGGTTAGATTATTTTATATAGAATACTCGTGTGCTATTTCTGGAATAAGAAATGTTAATAGGTTATGGTTGAAATCAGTTTGATCAGATGGATATATTTGTATCTATTTATTACTGCATGTATTTTTGGAGTTTATTAAGAAGAAATTTTTAGGGATAATTTTTTTGGCAAAATGCTTAGTTAGAGGTAGGTGCGGCAAACTGGTCGGGTTGGGTCAATTTGGGTCAGGTCAGGTTTGACATGACCCATTTAAGCTTGACCCGAACACAACCCGTTTAATAAATGGGTCAGACGAGCCATTTATTAAACAGGTGCCCGGGTGACCTGAAGTTTTTTTCATTGAGGAATCGAGTGATGACCCAAGTCACCCATATGACTTTTGAGAAACCAAAGTCATGGATCCATGTGCAAATTATGCAGGTGACATGAAATTACGAGCATGTGACTGGACTGTGACTATCACAGTTCTTTGAAATTTAGAATGTTAAAATGAATTTTATATATCAAAAAAACCCTCCTAACTTTGAATGATGAATACGTAACTCCTAAAAACTTTTAAAATATCAGAAATTTCCCTTTGACTTTAAGCATTTTAAGAAAAATCCCGTTAAGTTTTGGGGTTATGAGAATAATCTCCTTTAACCTATGTTATTTTTAAAAACCCCTAAAAGCTTACTCGAAAAAACAAACTCTAAAAAGCATGAACCTCAATTTTCACTGAAAAATATCTCCCCTTGTAATTCAACTCATCCATGTCAAAATTATAATTGATGATGTTTAGGAAAATTCTTGATAAAACCTTAAAATTAAAATGGGTTTTCTAATAACCCATAAACTTAAGGGTTTTTTTATATTTTGAAAGTGATATGGGGTTATCTGAAAATCTGTAATTTCGTATCTCTTCTCTCTCCTTTAAAACCAGTTAGGTAGAGAAACAACTTTTGAATGTTTTGTCATTTCCAATGTTAAGAAAAGACAGGAGAGAGCCTGGAGAGAAAGAGTTTACAAACAACCAATCCCATGTTATTCTCTCTCCATTCTCTCTCATTAATGGAGTTCCTTCATCCCCTCCACCAGGAACCCAAAATCAAATCGGAACAACCCAAAAAATATCACGAGGCCACCTCTGTCGCCGGAGTAGTATTCAAGAATCCTTTGTTAGGGAGATGATGGGTTAGAGAAGAGATGAAATGGTTAATTTATTTGGGTCATATACGGGTCGACCCACATAACCCGAGGGGTCATAGAGGTCGACCCATATATGACCCGAATCCATATATACTGACCCCTACCCATCAATAACTCGTTGGGTTTATGGGTTGGGTCAAAAATTGCCACCCCTAGCAAGGGGGATTTTAGAGGACGACGGAGGATACTTCATCTGAATTCGGAATTGATGAGTCAATCTTGCCTAATATGAGTCAATATTGCCTAATATAAAATAAATGATATTTGTTGTGTGTTATATGAGAAACATGTTGCAATTTGAAACTGTTGATTTTATATTACAACGAGACCCCAATTTCTCTCTTTTTTC